AGTGTGCAGTGAAAAGATTTTTGATTTTTTGGGGGAGAATTTGACAGTTTAGTATTTCAGACTGTTATTGGTCTGATTATTGTTAGAAATTTTCATTTCCCACTTTATTTCTGAGGAGAAAAGGTGCAAATGTATTTTGAACTAAAAACAGTCTGAATAATATATCTGAAACTTAGCAAAGGGCCATTTCATTAGCGGGAGAAGGGGGAAACAAAATGTATCAAGTTATTAGGACCCAAGATAGTCTAAATAATATGGTTAGAACTACTTATTGGGCTTGGGGAATGGATAGTGAGCTTTAATTTATAAAATCGTGTTCTAGGAAAGGAGTCACCTAGTTAAGTAGAAAACTGAAAAGTGAAGAAGGATGGGAAGGTTTTGAAAATTTTAATCAATTGGGACGGTTGACTGCCTGAAATAGTTATTCAGACCGATTTTGGTCTGAATAATCTTAGCAAAATCAACTCCCCAGGTGAATCAAATTGTGTCTCAATGCATTTTGGTCCTACCAAATCCCAACAGTTTAAAATTTCAAAAAATACAACTTAAATGAAGAAAACAGAGGTATTTTGGAGGTGGAGTTTTGGATTGAATTACTATTAATAATTTAAATTTTTTGCAGTCTTATTTTGATCACCTTTCTTAAAATGTTTACTTCTTATTTGCAAGTAATTTGTTCTTAATACAATTTTGTTGTAGTTCATATTACATTAATATTTTATTTATTACATAATTAATAGTTTTTTATTTTATTTTATTTATTTATACATATTTATAAATATACAAATTTACCAATCATTTTATTTACCTAACATTGGCAAAACTGACATTAGTAGTCACGTTTGTCCTTATGTACAAAATTTACCAGTCAAGGAAATTGACAAGAAAATTGGCAAGAAACTTGGAAGGCAAAACCCTTCGTAAGCCCCACGACTTTTTTGACAGCAAGTGACAAGCCCCTAATTTAAAAAAGTGGCAAATAAGCCCTCCAACCGCTCGTTTGCTTTTTCCTTTTTTTTTTTTTTTGCCCTTACATGCCGTTGCATTTTTTTACTTTACTTCATTTTATTTTTAGTAATAATATATTTTTTAATTAATTAATTTTTTAAAAATTAATTAATTAACAATTTATTTTTCCAATTTCATTGTGCAGCTTTGATCATTTCCTCCAAAAAAATAAATGAAAAATGAAAAAGATTAGTAGATTTACCATTTTAGATTCTTATTTTCATCATTTCCTACAAAAAAGAAAAAAAAAAAGAGTGGTAATAGTAGATTGAAAATGGAAAATAAGAAAAGACAAAAAGTAAATATAAATACATCATGAAAATATGTCTAGGATTTACCCAATATACAATTATAAGAACCTACAAAAAAGCCATAAAAAAAAAAAAGAAAGTTAGTGAAGATTTATATATTAACATAAAAATAAGAAATGAAATACCAAATATATAAACATATTAAAGATATGAAAATATGAAATGAGAAAAACAAATAGAAGTAGATAATAAGAGAAGGAAAGGAAAGAATAGGAGGACAAAGACGGATGAGGTGATGAAAGGAAAAAATAGGAGAAAGGTAAGAAACAAAAAAATAAAGTAGAAGGGAAGCAAGAAGAGATTATGAAAAGAAGAAAAGAAAAAGGAAGGGAAGCAAGAAAAGAGAATGCATAGAATAGAAAGA